TTTTATAATTAATATACATTATATGTAGACAGTATATAATCAATCTTTCTATGTCGATACTTGTACAACGCGTAAATGGATTATCCTGCATGCAATTAATAAATGCACTTGCGTTACTCAATTTAACGTGTGTGATTATTTAACATCAAACAGGGGAAATTAATATTATAAAGTTACGCCGCTGTTTATAGGAACGAATTAATACTTTTCCATTCGTACAAGTGTTATACAAGCATGTTCAACTTTGTTATATGATATTCCGAATTGTGGTCAGTACACAAAATTTCATTCATATGTAGATAACCATTACAGATTTTACAAAATAAATGGTTTTAAATCATTTAAAAAATTTTAGTTTAACTTTTATAGTTTATTAGTGAATCTCTTTCCTAATGAAAATTGTGATTTCTCATATAAAAATGATTGAACATAGTTTTATTGTAATTTCTTATATAAAAATGATTGAAAATACATGTTTGTGTGTGTGTATTGTATATGTGAGTAGATTAATGAAATATTTGCAGAAAGGGATAAAAAAAATATATACTTTGCATTTTCTTTGCTATATTTTTCTACTTTGGGTACTGTAGCTGAATTAAAGCCGATCGATATCAAGGTTGTCCACATCTAGCGTACAAGTCGCAAGGTCGGAAAAAGCACTTCGCTCGCAGTAAATCAATTTGATATATATACGCCGGACACACCCGGATAGAACACTGCAACAGTAAATGAATCTTGATGTTGTTGAGGCAGATTCGCGGGTTGTCTGCATAGTAATCTAAATCTAAATCTTAATGTTATCTAAGATAACGTACAATATGCTTTGAAATATTCCAATTACCTTTAAACAATCAAAGATCATGTTTTTATACGATCTTTAATTAGTAAATCCATTGTCTTATTCCACAATCTTTTGCTATTTTTCGCGCAATTTTGAAAAAATCTCATCTCAGATTTTCTTAACTTTTTCAATGAATAACTATTGAAAGTTTTTACACCGACATTTTTTGAATAACCCAGTAGACTTTACATCATTTATTATTCATAATTATGTAGTTTATAATTATGCAGAGTGTTAAAGAAAAATCGCGTTCAAAGGAAGTGAAACTCCTTGTTGACTATAATAATAGAACGTGTAAAAACCTGTTGATTCAACGAGAGAGAGAGAGAGAGAGAGAGAGAGAGAGAGAGAGAGAGAGAGAGAGAGAGAGACATATATCGCAATTAATTAAATTTTTTAACATGCAATAAGCGTGTATTTTTGTACATTTCTTTATTCAATTTTACTAATATTATTTTTAGCTTATTATTTTGATGTAAGCTGCACAAAAATATAACCTAAATTTTACTGCCTGATCTTTTTCTTTTTTCATATACATATAAATAAAATAGTACTTAATGTATAACAGTACTTTACTTAATGTGCCGCTGGAAATTAATATCTAAGAACCCTTTTGTTTTAAAATATGATACGGTACGAGGATAGTAACGGAGTATTTCATAGTAAAAGACCAGAATATTTTTTCTAAAGATTTGAAAACTTCGCTAGTCCTTTAAGTTACGAACAAAGAAATTGTAACTCTTTAAAATAATGCCATTAACCCCGGAGACCTAGGGTTACTTTGTGAAAGGACTATTTTGCTTCCGACAGCATTTTAATTCTTTATAAAATGCATATGAATTCTAAATCAAAGCATGAGAAGATAAGCCGAAGTCGATTATAAGGTGATACGAAAAAAGGAGATAGATTGAAGACACTTTACCTCTCAATATGTACCTCTCAAACCGTGCATCTTTAGAGTTTCAAGAACATGTGCGAGCAGATAGGAAATCTCTTCAGCGCGCTTTGTCTTCCTTCCTGCTATTCGAATGAAAAATTTTTCGTCGGTAGCGGCAAAGAGGATTAAGCTGCTCGTTTTGCATAGATAATGAGACACCCCGTCCCATTATTTTTAAACTGAAATGTGAACTATTCTAATTATAGCATTAACGTTCCTCATTTACGGGATAATTTTGTATTACATAAAATTTACAATATTGTATTTTATTCGCGCACCACGCGTGAGTATGCAAATGCTAAAGAATATTGTAAAATTTTAATCAGATATTGTACATACTTTTATATTTTTTAAAAGAGATAATTAAATTTTAATTTAACACACACATACACACACGCGCGCGTACGCACATACGGACACACACACACACACACACACACATATGTATATATCGCGCACATAAAATATAAACAAATGTAATGAATGAGTTTACTGTTCGTGATTTACGTTAATTAATAGTAAACAGAAATTTCTTGTCCAATAATTAGTTGGAAACTGCGTTAACAAGGTGCTACCGACTGTCATACAAATTAACATACAGGAAATGCTGCAAAAAGCACATGTTCCCCAAGGACAGATTAAATAATGGCTGTCTAATATCAGCGGTGTTAAATCTGATTTACACTATCGAATGATTGAATTAACTTCAACCGTTGATTCGAAATGCAAATTAAAGTGGCTTTTCTATTGTTCCGACACTCATGTAAAATGTATGACAAGTTCTGCAAGAAACAACAATGCTCCTAGTCAATTTTAGATAATCGAACAATTCATCGGCAACCTTTCCAATTTACATATCGCATAATGTCGTGATATAATTATAATTATATACGCATAAATAACCTGAAATAGGTAATGAGAGAAAAGGGATGATGACAGGAATTAATTAAATGCATTAACTAAACGTGCGTATCTCATCGCACGTATTAACAATTTATGACATTAATTTTAGGAATTATGTACATTTTATGTAACGCGCACAGAAACGGATGAAATATCGAATTACATATACATATAAAAGTTATCAAATATACACACAGAAAAATATATACTACCTGCAAGGAAATATTATTTGTTCCAAGTATTTGATAAGTTTATATATCCGCAAATCTGTCATGATGTCGTCGCAAGTGTTACATTTACTCAAAACATATTCTGGTTCTTAGTAAGTCTAGTACTTCAAACAAGAATACATAGAATTATTTGGAGCAAAACAATTTTGTTTCTTCTGATTTTACTAAAAGAAGCATACGGAATTCTTCAATAAGTTTTATAGTTTTCTTCAAAGAAGAATAAATTCTTTCTTTTAGTATAAGATGGCAAGCTTTTCTAAGACTAGTAACAAGTATATCTCAAAACTATTATTAAGAAAATATTCTTTGTTGAAGCAAACGATTACTTAAACGGAATAACATAAACTGAATAATTACTGTTCTTGACTGTACAATAATAATTTTCTGTGTGTAGCGAAAGAATCCCAATCTTGTCAATCAGAGGAATGCGACGTTTTCAAGAACGGCGAAACGGATGAAAAAAATATGCTGAATAAAAATCGAGATTCTTTGTACAATCTTGCATCTCGGGATTACTGAATTACGAGTTGGTATTACGAGAGAAGAGATTTCAGCTAACGAAATCGAATTAAATCTGTCGTGATGTAAAGAAAATTTTTATTAAACAGTAACGGCCTCGAAATGACAACTGCTCGTGAAAGGCGATCGCAAAACCGTAATGTATTATGCATAATGTCCCGCAAGACCTTATTATTCGCGTCGGACTCCTGCCGAACTTTTTGAAACTCATAAAAACCCGCGAAAGTAACACGAGAGCCGATCTCGCACATGTCCCGTTAATTAATTTATTCAATAACTTTATTTCCGTATCGTTCTCGCGGAACTTTTCGTCGCAAGAACAAAATTAGATATTATTGAAGCGACAGATGCACCCGATGTTATATATTGAGGTACGTAATATATTTTTCAGGGTTTTTGCTCCTTGAAACCGGCCTCTGATTAATAATCGTGTGGAGGTAAATCCCTTATGGACCGATAAGACACGCGATCAAATAGCCCATGTGGGACAATATCCTTCCCTGAGTTTGCAAGACCTCATACTCGTTTATGTATAACCTAGTTTTACCGCAAGCTTTTCAGCTAAAAATTATTAATCCGAAAATGGAGGGCGAGGAGAGAGGGAAGAGAGATAGAGAGCGAGAAAGTTGACGATCGGCAGGTATATACAGGGAAAAATTGAAGGAATTTTCTACGATATTAAATTCCATTGAGAAATTTTCAATTAAATTTTTTATTAATTTCCAGAGTCTAGCATATACTCTTTCCCGCTTAGGGGAAAGAAAATTAAAAAGTCCTTTCTACGATTGCTTGATTTATCGAACGTACACACGTAGATAACTTGACGAGTGATATGACAAAGAGCGGTCATTTTTTTTTTAAATTTGCTTCATATTCTCTTAATTATTGCACTCCGCGATACAGGTGTCTCCGGCAAACGCACGACGCGAAAATCCCTCTGCAGTTTGTAACCAATTTGCTAGTGACAACAAATACCCTTTGACAATGCCGAGCATACAACGGTTAACAAAACCAACTTGAACCGAAAATTGAATAAAGGCATGCAAACAAATATGATTTGTAGATATCTCTGTACTCGATAGGTTGCGACAAAAGAAAGCTGCGTTACATGTATTTCGTAATTAACTTTCCTTTGATTTGCTCTACGCCGATATTGTCTGGCGATGAATATTTGTTTATCAGATCAAATTTAATGAGGCAATGAAAAATGTATAATTATTAAATGAAGGTATAATTGAAAGGGTTTAATTGGAATTAGCAACCTCGATGGAACGTTTATAATATTATTCCGCATCCATTACGCGCTTTCTTACGTCGTTTTTACGAAATAAAAGTTGTGGCTTGTTCTTCTATTTAAAATCCATTCGGAGAAGTGCGGAAACTTTTTTCATACCTGGAAATCGAAACTCGCACAAGCAATAAAACGGGACACTTCTCCAGTGTCATCAGAAGAAAAGTTGGACAAGGACTGAAGGACATGTCTGATAATAAGCGAGAGAAAGCGAGGAAGAATTCTTGATAAAAAATATTCCAGACTGCGGAATTGTGTTGAAAAAAGTTTATTAAACATCTCTGTACAGTGTCTATCTGTAAAGTCGATCAAATCTTATTCTATTTCGTTACACATTTCGCAAGAAGAACTTTCGAATGTTTCTTAAATATTTCAGAAGAATGTAGAACGTCGTGGAGTTTTTATTTTATTACTTACAGTGTACTCTGCATTTTTGCGCGAAGAATTATTTTATAATGCTGCTGAGCTGCGACGTTCATCTTAAATACGATTGACGCGGTATTCTACGTAATGTAAGGAGCGCGGTAGCTTTGTAAAGAAACGTATTTATGAGATTGCATACTTAAAAATCTTTCTAAATACTTTTGATAAGTAAATAATTTATTGTATGTTACAATTAAAGCATTATATAAAATGGATTAAGAAACGTCGAAACAAACACAGTTATTCCGCGAATGCTTCGTGTAAAAGTCTGTCCCTCATCGTTAATATACTCTTACCATTTCTTAAATTTAACGAAACCCGATATTCGAATAATAAAGTTATTATACCGTACTTTGTTAATGACATATTTCTGTTTTAAATTACGTACGTTAAAATGGCAACAAGTTCGACAGAAGTAGCATCTTTTGAAACGTTATGATTCATGGAATCAACGCAATGTTATACACAACGCGATATTACACGAGACATGTCTGCGTTACGGCAACAATAATACCTTCAAGTACCGTCATATAAATATGAGAGAGCGGCAGGTACAGCTTTGATGCGTCGTGCGACCAAGTAACGTGGTCGTATATTTCACGCTATCATTTAAGGGTTATTCTCTGACAGATCCATGAATCGTGTGCAACAGGTGTATCAAAGATATGCGCGATGAAAGATATGCGAACTACATATCATACGGCACATTTCTATATGAATTTATGTTGAGTAATGGACCTTATCAAAGATTCTTGAACGCCGCGCGCCGAGCACTCCTCGGAATGCGAAATTTCGCCGTTCTCACAGGAAATCATGGAAATTGAATTAAACGCGGTCTACGCTGGAATTGCAATAAATGTAAAATATCTAGTAATCTGGTTACGCGCGAACATGAAATATAAAACCATCTCTCGAAATTAGCGTAGGTAACATAAATGAGCAGGGCGTTAAGCAGAAATAGCATAACTGTGTTTGTTTTTCGCATAAAACTGTGTTTACTGGATAAATAGATTTTATAGCTCCGGATTTAAGAGCTCGCCTGCGAAATTGCCCAAAGCGTTTTGTCATTTTTTTAATTGGAACGCAGAAGACGTTATCTCGTAAAATTGGCTTAATTATTAATCTTCCGCAAGGGATATTTTTTTTACGCGAATATATTTATAGCATTATCATACCATCATCATACTTAAAAGATAAGATAAGAAAAAGTCGCGATGCAAAAATACATTTTCTAATATATTCGCGTCTATCACTTCGGAATAGATTATCGTTGTTAAAGATATTAATATACTTAACGATCTACTGACAAGTTTTAATTTTAACAATTTCACAAGTTCGTTAATACGTTTGACAAATAATTTCTTTTTACAGGTACAGAATTACACGTCGTGTAAGACGCATTTCTTCGCCCATTATTCGATTAACGCGTACAAAAATGCCAATTCCTTTAAACTGTTTGCCGCGCAGAACGAACGAGTCGAGGCAGAATATAAAAATAACTCTCGATGCGAATCCAGAAAGGCGCAACGCGTTTCCGTTCTCGTTATCTTCATATAGACACGTTTTGACTTTTACGAACTAACTGAAACTATAAAAAAATGAGATCAGAAGTTTCTGTTAGGCCAAGGATACATAGGTCACAGAATATTGGGAATCACGTCAACGTTTCACTTCAGTCAATCGTAAAGGAAGTTGAGATTGTCCACGCAGGAAGATCTCGATGAGCAATGAGACGGGCCGGCATGAGCGGGTTCCTTACCACTTGCACGACTAGCGATCCTATCGACGGGCGGCCGCCAGGATATTTTCAGCAAAAAGTCCTCCTTCTTCTCCTCCTCACGGGAGGGTTGGGATACGTTCGGTCGCGCCGCCACGTCGCATAATCCGCACGACTTATACTAGACGCGATCTTCCTCCTCCAGCAACCGCACTACCTCTGAAATAATATTTCTTTATCGCGAATGGACGATAGCGACGAATACTGCCTGGACTCTGCGGATATCCAAATAATCCGAGATAATTATTCGTTTACTTCAGATATTCGGATAATCCAAGTCTCGACGTTCGCGGATTTCGGCGAGTCTGCGATAATATGAATTAAACCGATCGAGCGATAAGAAAGATTTTCTACTTCTGCATCTCTTTGCGGTCGAGCGCATATCACAAGGACAACGTATCTTATAAAAAATCTTAAATTTGCCAGAATTCATAAATTTCTAAGTCCGCGTAGATTTCATTTCAGAAATTACAATTCACGTCTAGATCTTTTATAAACGCGCGACAATTATCTCGGATAATTTGGATTTTTAATTATTCGGTTATCTACAGCTTTAATGGAAAGCACTCATGAAAATATGTACCACTTTTTAACACACATACATTCACACGCGTTAATATTTTGCGAGGATAAAATAAAGATTACGTTGAAATACGTACTTGGTGGATTTTCGAGAACGAGAATGGGACAATGCATTTATTCATCGAGAGAGAGAGAGAGAGGGGCGGAGGGGAGGGGACCGTGTGGTATTATCCCCGCAAAGTTCGAATAGAAAGGTCTCGAGATAAGCAGTGCTTATAGTTTCTGTGAAATTCAATCGTGACTGTCCATTACATCATATACAATCCGCTTAAATGATACCAATTGCCACGATAGTTATATATGATAATACTCGAATTTATACGCCGGTATCTAAAATTTCGAGGTTATTAAAAATTACCACCAGATCCTTTTGTTGCCGGCGAAGTGCGCGGTGGCTCTCATTTCTCGCGTGTCCCGACTTTTTCTCGTAAAAACATTTAGATAAAATTTCAATCTATATTCTCTAATATACTGTTTGATATGCTAAATGCAGACAATCGATCATAAAGCATAAAGCAACATTAGTTGAGTTTTTACACGTCGCGTTATTCCACCGCGCGATTTTTCTTACTTTAGGATACACCTTGCAATGTAAAAATTTAAATCCCAGAAATTAATTGCTGCATACTAGTTTAATATCGACTTTGTGGAAGCACGAGTATTATGTATATATTAAAATGTTGCCGTTGTGTTTCTGTATTACTTATGAACGCTGCTAAATGCTGCATCATATAATTTTTACTTTATTGTCACTCCATTAGCCAAGAACATTTTCGTATTGGATGGATATAATAATTAAGCTCCAGACAAGTAGGAATTAGAGCAGGACTAATTGCTCATTCAAAAGTTTAGGGAAACGTACGGTATATATATATATGCACATATATATAGTATATACGCGGTTAATGTAAACCGGTATCGTGGAAATTACATCGCGGGAACTCTAACGTGTGCCACAAGGAGCCAGCGGATGTCCGCGGCGGACCATTATCGATCACGTTGGTACTTTACTAAGCCATTATCAAGCAGACCAAGCGAAAGAAAAAGTTGTCTATTCAGATTTTAGACGCGAATGGAACGTAGCCCACATTGATTTAAATGCACGAGTACGAAATCCTGGAAAGTATTGCGTGGTAAAATGACGCAATCATGAATGTTACGGCATCGCGTAATACTATGATAATTTGATGGAATCCTGGTCGTTACGTATATGTACAAGGTGTATCGCGCAGTGTCGTGGTATCGTAATAGAATCTCGGAAATTTGGGTTGGTGTTGCAGCCGCGCATCTGGGAATATATTAGGGCGATAACATAAAATAATCAGTTTAGCAGAGCGCGATGATACCTGATCTGGCGGCGAGGGATGCCTTGCCCAGGTAAACCGTCGAGTCGTTTCCGCTTAATTCGCTGTTATTGCCAACTTGCCCGGCGTTTCCGGTGGTCGCCATCGCGATGTCGCTGTGTCTGCAACCTACCCTAAAATGAAACGCACGCGAACGTTTTCGGTTTAAAAGCGTCTGGCGCCGGGTGTCCGCACCCGCGCGACTTGTCCTATCAATTTTACCGAGCCGAGCGAACAAATCCCTTCTTCTCGCCCGCGTACTTTTAAAAATGCTTTACGCAAAGTTCGTTTAGCAAAACGTTAAGACTCGGATATAACGCACCCTTTCGTGTTTCATAATTTTAACTCCGTTCTATATTTAAAGGCATTTCGCGGAACAAACTTGGCCACTTTGCGATTTTTGTCTAAGAGCGAGCGGAGCGCGTTAACAAGTTTGGGGTTTAACGCGAGAATGGCTGTTACGTAATTGCAAGTCTTTCTATTCTGGAGCCGCGGGAGCTCGAGCGAGCTCCTCGACGTATCTTCCGCGGAATTAATCCCGCGCGGCGCCAGCCAACTGGTAAAGGGGACAGATTTGTACGGCAAAGTTCTCGCCTCACGTTGTGACAGCTCCTTAAGTCGCGTCCTTAAGTCGTGAACGAGGAATGTGTACGCGCGGCCGACTCATCTAGGTTTTACCTCCAACAGCGGTGGCAGTCGAAGAGGCCGAGGAACGCCTGGCGAAATTTTCTGTTCATGAAACAGTACGTGATGGGGTTGCAGCAGCTCGAGACGTAGGCCAGCAGTTGCACCAGGCTGATGCCGGTGCTACCGACGACCGAGTACACCAGATCGGGCGCGAAAAGGTACCACGTATTGATCACGTGCAGCGGCGCCCAGCACACGAAAAACTCGAGGACTATCACGAAGAGCATCCTGATCACCTGCAACAACCAAGCCGCGTTTAACGGACGCGTGACAAGTGCGGGCCACTTGTCTCGCGTTTCCGATTTCGGGGATTCACATTCCATTCGGGAGGGTAAAGCGCGACGTTGCCTCGGCGCGCGTTCCGGCACCAAACGTTCGTTGGCTCCCTCGAGCGTGGCATGACCGACGTCCCGTGTGCGCGGGGATTAAATCGTCTTACGTGCAAATATATGGAAAATATCACGGCCCCGTATGCCCCGTATTTGTAAAGTAGGAATGTAGAATTGTTTAGGGAGCGAGCCGTGCTCCAAGTGGATAATAAAAGGCTAATACCGCCACGAAGCGCTGATAAACATCTTGCGGCCTGGCGTGCACCGCCGGGCAACGCGTTTTTCCGACGCTTGCTCCAGATCCCACGATTTCCTAGAAACGAGAAACGCCGAACGCCGCGCTACGAGGGAACTTACAATGCGCGCTTTATATGCATGCAAAGGCGCACACGTGATCCCGCATTAAATTTTCGATACGGAAATTGTTGCTCGCTCTGCCGCGGGCCGCAATCCAATTCGATCAATCAGCCAGGCGTCCGTAATATACCTTCTTCTTCGCCTCGATGCTCTTCCCCATGTAATTGCTGCGTATCACGTGTTGTCTGGTGAGCGGACAGGGTGAGTCCTGCTGATCCTCGTTAGCGATATCCTTCGTGTCTCGCGTTAAGCAGCCACTTCCGTTCGCTCGTATCTGAATCCGGGATGCCTGGGACAAATCTGTGCTGTGACACTTGCCGGTAAGCACCCTGGAGACCACCGTCCGTGGTAACCGCACCTTTTTTTTTGGAAAAGGAGCAAGAGAAACAAGATGTCTCGGTTAACCGTTGCACGTGCCGCCGGGATGTTCTCGAGGCGATAGACAATTTAATTCGCCACCCTAATTGCGCAAATTTATCTGACGTCTAGCCGCGGGCTGTTTCATTGGATCATGAAATCTCAATTAGTCGAGGCAAGTTAATGATGCACTGGTCACTCACGTAAATTACAGTCTAAAGTGCGGTCTTGTTATCAATTAATAAAGCGCTAATGAAAATAATAGACTTCAGACTATCAATCTCGAGGATAATTACACTGATAGAAAAATATCTAGTATTTTAAACTCTAATTCCATAGTAAAATAATTATAGTCAAGAATATCATTTTTACAGTAATTATTACTATAATATTTGTAATAGCAACCATATAGACACAGTCATGCCAACTATAATGTTTTAAAAATTCACTAAAAAATATCAGCTTTTGACTATTATTCTGTTCAAATATCCAGGTAATGAATAGCAAATTACTTAATTGTTTTCATGTAGTAAATCACAATAAGAGTAATCATCCACCTTACTAATCACATGGTAAACAAAAGCGAAGTGGTTCGGAATGTCCTCACTAGAAGGACGCGCGGTATAAGACTTTCCCGTAAGAAGAAAACCGCATAGGGTGTTATAAGTACGGATAAGTTTATACGTTCGTATAAGATTACTTATCTTTTCTTGGAAAGACTCTTTCTTGTGATTACAAAGTGATGTAACCAATAAGCATATAGTGAACGCAATGTATAAATAATCAAAAAGGGAAAAATTACTTCCAATATAAATACGATTATTACTATTATATGTAGTTATTCGAAATTTTACTTGTGGTTGTTATTGCAATATTTATAGTACACTTTACACCAAATAAAAAGCTCGTTCGGGTTTACGACAATCATGTCATAAGTTGCATGGACCAATATTGTGTGTTTCTATGAGAACTATAATACATTGTTAGGTCAACCATAACTAACGTAGTTGGAAGAATCGTAAAAATGTGGTTGCCTCCTAAAATGACTATAAATTATAGTGAGATTGTGGTAACTGCAACCATTTTCCCCGTCAGTGTGCAATATTGTTAATACAAATATGGCAAAGCGAAATATTTGAAAATATTTACACGATTAATTTTTCTTTCTTTTCGTTTGGTAAAAATCCCTACTCAATTTCGAATCTTTCTGCATTTGACACACATTTCCATTAAAATATTTCGGTATTGTGAAAATCGGTAAAAAGGTTAACTTTTATTGTTGCTTTTGCCATTACAGTTTGCCACTTAGATCCTTTACAAGTCCAATGACTGCGGAGTTAAGAGAGTAATATTATAGACCGAGTAATTTACGCAATTAACATAGATCGCGATAATCTGAAATTTTATCCCAAGGTGATATTGGCTCAGTATTTTCTCACCCTAGATGGTACACCTTGAGAAGCGCCTTGGAAATGCCTTGAGGAAGACGAGAAGCTCCGTCGCGATCTCGAAGTCGGGCCACAAGTATCAAATACCATTGTCGCTCTTGCATCTCGATCGTTGTTGTTGTTGTAATTTGAGCCTCGGATCGTTGCGCTAGATTGCGTTCTCCCGACTGTAATTTATGATGATTACGGACCTTCGGTTTCAATACAGTCGTAATGATCATTCAATTTTCATTCAGAAGAGTATATTTTTGACTTGTTCAAAATATCGACGGAAAGCAAAATAATTTTTTATTCAGTAGCTATCAGCAGATGTCGATCGATAATCTCGATATTAATCCAACGTTATTTTGTTGCTGTGTCTTTTCTAAGCTTACAATTCCGACCAATAGATTTTGCAGCAAAATCAGCGTAAATAAAATAAGATTGACGTAGCTTTGGGAAATGTTTTTCCAAGGCGCCCGCGACGCCGACGCAGCAGGATTCGACGCGAAAATTGGTACTGTCACATCTACGTTCCGTATATCGAAGCGACACTTCACTTACGTCTCCTGGTACACGTCGATGACTGTCGTATCTCGAGTTTCAGGCCGCGCCAAAGTTTTATCGCTATCAGCGAGTAAGCCAGGCTCATGAGCAGCAACGGTATCAGGAGCAGCGTACCGTCCAGGAAGAGATTGTACGCCCTTTCGGTGCCGACGTTCGGCCATTCCTCGCGACACTTACGCCTTCCTAAAATTGCCACGTGGTGCGAACAAGTTTTTCAACCGCTCGGCCGTAAAACGCATGGAGTCCTGGTGTAATCAAGAGGGAAGAGATCGTATTGCCGCCACATTCCCACCTTGTACGTTTTCCCGGTGGAGAACGACCACGCGGTGGTTAAAATAGAAAAAGATCTAATCCCGTATTTCTTTTCGCGCGGAAAGCTTAGATGTAGCCGTTAATTAAAGTCATTAAGTTAAAATTATATTCGTTTTATCGCAGCTTCTGAACTTTAATAACAAAATAAACAGCTATGTAATTTTTTTCGTTCACCCATTCACCTACGTGATAAAGTTATACGCGAGATTTATGCTCGCCGAAATATCAATAACGCACGTCTTGTTGCATTCAATGTAACTCTTTTATATACACTTAATCGATAATATATCGGTGTTGCTGTGCAATTGACTTTCATTGCCTCAATATCGAGCTGAGTAAGTAATACGGTATCGATTATATTGATATTGCTGCGCAGTTGACTTTCAATATCTCGGTATCAAGTTCGAGAAATGTCAAAGCAAGTGATTAGTGTTGCGGAGTTTCACGGTGTAATGTGACAAACATACACGCTGCTGCCTTTATCATGTATGTAGGCATTCTATTAAGTATTCGGTCAATTAGATCGTGTTAAAAGCAATGAGCGGGCATTACATCGATCGGATTTCTTGCGTTTAAAAAGCAATGCTCTATAATTCAATATGAGATTTCTGCGTAACAAATAAATTTTGAGTAGCAGTTAATATTAAATAAATATGATCGATCAATATAAAACAAATTGCTAGTATCAATAATTTACTGTTTGCTATTTTATTTAAAATATTGAATTGAAAGCGTTTTTTATTGTAACCGAAAAGCTACCATAACAAAATTTTATCGCGTCAACAGCCTAACTTCTTTTAGAATAGATATTCAATATTGTTGAGATATTCAATATGCCGGTAGTGGATATTATGTATATGCATAAGCTGCCTATGCCGGTGAATGAAATTCTCAGAGGAAGGCCAGGACGGATGTCGGTATTGAATTGAGATGAAAATGTCAGCACGGCGCAAAAACTGCAGTTTCAATCTGGCGAGCGATTGTAACAAATAAAATTGCAACAAACGTTGCAAATGCCACATTAAAATACATTTATTCGAGTGACTTGAATCGTCCGATGGCTATTCGCGAATTAATTAATAAAGAAGAACAGATGAGGAAAACAATTTACTATAATCTTCAATTTCCCGAGTTGTCAATTACAAAGCGTGAAATTATTTATTCACTTGTTATTTATTTGGCAGTTATTGCTTACCAAGTATTTACGCAAAACTGAGGCAACACTGTAATATCAACGTTCTCTTACCTCCGCTCAAGTTTTTTAATTGGGAGACGACGAGAATCGGCACGTTCCACGTGAGACTGAGAGTCCACACAACAGCAATCATCTTGTAAGCGTGGAACTGTGTCTGCCATCGTCTAGATTTTAATGGCCGGCAAATGGCAAAGTAGCGTTCGAGCGAAATGGCAACCAGTGTCCAGACACCCACCGACACTGACACGGCTGGAAAAAGCGTATCACGTTTTAAATCGCATTGCGTCCCGTCGTGCAGACTTACTGTCCGCTTTTGTAGATGACAGAGCTTTTACATTTTTAATATAGGTATATATATTGTCGTTTTTGCAAAATTTGAATAGTCTGTCTATCCCAGGCAGCAAAAAATTAATACAGCATTGCGCGATATAAAGTATTGACAGCCGATCGATTTGTAATATACACTTTGATTCGTACTGTTCAGCTCGAAATTAAAAATACATCGATAAATGTAATTGTCTCGGAATATACAGGGAAGAAAAGGAAATATATTTCCCATTCCCTTCCCCGATGTAGGGCAACATCGAAGTAACCGTGAGAACACGTCCGATCGTTAGCAAAAAAATATCAATTGTCGATGATGGAAAGGAGTTCGACATTCAATAATAGAGCCGGAGGATTGGAGCTAACTATCTGGACCACCGGTGTACGTTGCAAAAAATGAACGCACGTGACATGCACTCCTGCAGAGGAGCGCTTTCGCTCGAGTCCGCTTTCTTCTTGCCCGTCGGTCGTACAAAGGCCGCGGATGGCGAAGTTTCGACTTAAAAGTGTCGCCAAACAATTTCCACAGCGTACAGCTTAGAGTGTACACAGATGGAGGAAGAGAGGACTTTATGAGAAACGTTCTCGGCGACCTCGAATCCAATTATGAAATTCTTTCGCGACCGCGACCTACTAAATACTTTATGTCAAGGTTATTAACAGGAAACCCTTATCAGGATGGGAGATATGGGAATTTTATCGAATATCCTTCACCTGATTGGAAAATGCTTTATTCATTTATTGCATTTTAATCCGATTATTATGCAACATCATCACGAAAGTGGGTAGCACCCATTGTGTGTTAATAACAGGATAAAGCCGAAAATATACGTATTAAATTTAAATTTAAATCGCTTACGTTCATACAGAACGTTCCATCTTTAATTAATGTTTTAACAGATTCTTTGATAAAGGATCTACCTTCTTTTTAGCAGAAATGTCAAAGAAAGCTATCTTTTATCGTGACTTGTTAATTTCCAACTTTTTCTAGATTTACGTAAATACGTTTCAAAGTTAAATCAAAATTTTATTTAAAGTTATGTAAAGAATTGTACAATTTTGTTATTCATTTGGCTCCTCGACATTTAGTTCGCGATATGTCTTCCTTTTCTTGTTGCGCACTTGATATTTTTGCTGAGAAAAATTAATTTTGATTTTGTCAAAGAATTTATTGTCACAAATTAAAAGTGCGAGAAACAGAACACTATATGTGATTGCAATCCGCCCACGTTGAAATTATTTTTAATTTTAAGGACGCGCAATCCGCCCACGTTGTAATTACTTTTAATTTCAAGAACGCAGTATCGCAGTATAGCGGTATCGACTTTCAAGAAAGTACAAATTACCTCACTTGACATAAATTTTCCACTCGATTGACACAGCTGGCGTCATTAAAATGTGCATACGTTTTTATTCTATTGGGAATTATTCATTCAATCATTTGAACAATTGTGATTCCCATTCGAACATTTTCTATCGCCGCGTCTTTTAATTACATTTTTAATTATCTGGAATTTTCTGAACAATTATTTCCTACTTTTTACATTATTATGAAAAAGTTTCACGATGTTTTACGAAGAGGTGGATAAACAGACGCATGTGTGTGTGACTATATTGCGAGTTAATTTACTTTAATTATGGTGAAAAATTAATTATACACTCTGAAAGAACAGGGAATGAAGAAATTTGCCCGGAAGATAATTTGCATACCGGAGTGACGACAGTCGAAAAGTTAACAAAATTAACTCGTGGTACTCATTTACCCTCTACATGAATTGTTCCTTTAAGAAGGAGCCCTCTCTCTCTCCTTTATGAATTATGAATTATTACTTTGAATAGAAGTAGTAGAACTAGCATTTTAAAAGTTTAGCTAACGTCATGTTAAAAACATAAGCCTTCGATCGCGGGTATCAACTGTTTCTTACTCGATACACTGTTGATTTTGTTGATTTAATAAAAATCTTATTGCACTTGGGCATTAATGGTTTCACGTTTAATAATTTTTAGACCGCCATTTGTAACTTGCACAAATTCGTACAAAGTCGCTAGTTTTGTCGATATATTACAAGAAGCTAAAATCCTTCATCATTTTTCGTTCTTATTGATATATAAATAGCGAGAAAACACACGTTACGTGAGATCGAAGAACACACTGTCTGGCTAGATCGAGAAAGACGTAGACCTTTTGAGCGTCGTTCTAGAGTACCAATATGTCCCATAAATTTCCGCTGCTCTTCCTGAATACACCTCACCGTAAGTTTTCATACAGCAAGATGAGCGTGAGGTGCATCTATTCATCACGCTTGTGACCTTTGCCACTGGTTCCTTCCACGCCGCACCGCCGTTTCAAAGCCGGAAAGAAAGCGCGGCGCAACAGAGTTATCTTAAATTATAATTTTTTTTTTTCCTCCACTAGAATAATCGCCGAGGACATGTGCCGCTACTTTGGTCGCGACAGCGGGGCGCAATGATAGAAATTACGGCATTTGTTACTTTCACGGTACATCGTGATAAATATTGCAATAACTCGCATCTGAAGCACGCAATAATGCCTATCGTTTCAGCCAATCCGATCACGTTCTTACAAGAATTTACATAAAGACCTCTGGGATTTCGCGTTACCGATGCATATTAATCGACGTTATTAATGTACGAATTAATACGGCCGCGGCACGGAGTTTGCTCATTACGTGAAAATAGTACACGTGCAATATGGAAATCCTTCACGAACGGCTTCGTTACACTAGGCTTCTGTACTTATATTACTTCATTCGTAAAAGGTCGCCGTTAAGCCCCTTTGTTTAATACGAGCGAGAAGCGGGACATCGCGAATTTGGGTCGTTCCAAGACCGGGCTGGTCGGGTATAATCCGCGACAATGGAGGGGGGGAAAAAAACGATTACATCCTACGCTAACGCCGTGACAATAAAAATGTCTTGAGAAAAGGAACGTCTACGGCGCGACGAAAAACGTTCATGCGATTTCAATTTCATGGCAGGTTTTCGTCGGAAAGAAGATTATCCTACATATGCGTAACGTGTGTATGCGTGTGTATGTGTGTGTGTGTATCCTGGAAAATCCACGATTTTCATGCTCTGTGAACAATCTTTTAAAAAAAGTACAAAATCCACGGGAATAAAATTCCGTAATAAAATAGTGATACACGACAATTTTTATACTCTTGATTCTCTTTTTTATTCGCTCCATACGCTCGCGTTGTATCTAACACTCGAGTTGGTATTAGTGTACGAAAAGTTACGCTTTGCGACGTGCAGTTTCACAACTGCGCGGCTGCGATTGTACCGTATGATTTCGGAAACCAATGTACACGAAAAGATCAGAGGGAAGATATAAAAAAATGAACGCGCGCCAGATAAAAAATATTGACCAAACTCAGAGCCGATGCCGAACGTTTTTATCGGACCATTCCTTTATACCCATATCCGGGCTCCGTCTGAATATCGGCGGATCAAGAGCGTGTGACAAAACTTAATAGCGCGTTATACGCACCCGAAGAAGTATCTCCGAGGTATCCGCGGGCGCAATAAAAGTTCGCGCGACCGTCCAAGTACGCACGATCGTTTTCCTTTATCGGGGAACATTCGAGGCGCGATTTTTGCAGAAACGATCATCGGTGGTGCGTTTAAATTCCGCAAGCGCGAACGCGACTGTTATGAGCGATACAGGCAGATATGCGTACGCCGGGATGGTCTCTTTCGGTACGATATCTCCTCGCAACGGGAATTCGACTTGGAGTCCGCCGGCGCGCATTAGTCACTCTCGTGGAACAGCATAATTCCACAATATCCTGTTGCCAGGCTCTTTAATACACAGGAGTAATATTCAACGAGATTTACTAATCTGATATTTGGAAATACAAAATAATATTATATACAGATAAGAAATATAGAGGGAAGTCCCCTATTGTGAGATCTTAACATGAGATAGCGGGGATTCTGCTAAATTAACAGGCAACATCTGTTGATTCCACCGTGAATTTATTGCCCTTGGAGTGAAATCTGTTTAGTGGAAACTTGCTTATTAGATCGTGTAATCCATGCGGTGAACGATTTGTGATTGGATTTAGATGTTGAGAACTTGCTATCTCATAGTAGGTTTCTCTAAATCTCTAAATCTCTCTCAATATATATATAGACAATATTTTTCTCAATCATGTTCTGCCTCTCGTGAACCTAAGCTCAGTTCCTTTAATTTATTACACTGAACATTTGATACGATATCGCTTGAAAAGGATCACAAACCATGGTCGAAACGTTGTGAGTTCTAAACATAAAAATTGCCAGGTCAAGTTATCATTGAAGTCTTAAAATTTTTTAAATTTTGTATACGGAACTCTTAAGATTTAGTGAATTGTTTTAAGGATATTCTGTGTAAAATCCTTTTTATTATTATATGTATAAATAAATTATACATTTATTATGTCGACACTAATCGAGAATAGTTCATTATTATGGCAAATTGATATGTGTAAATATTTAAACATTTTAATTTGATTCGATCTATGTATCGCGGTTATTATCATATTAGTTTCAGATATGCAATATTCCAGAACGCGAAAATATATGAAAAATAAGTCGATATATTAATGTTTGTTTTCACATAAAAAAGAATAGCTTGATTTGCTCAAATACATCAATCATTTAACGCAGAGGACGTATTACGAGTGAAAACCTTTCTAGAAAGCAAGAAAAACTTTTTTACCAATGTTGTTTGTTAAATTGTTATTAATACTTAGTTGTCTCGTGGATTAAATTATCGCATAACACATAATTTAGAAATTATAGATACGTGTTTGTTAGCCTCATATGTGAACTGCGTACAGCAATTCTAGAAAATTAGCATTAGATCACTGCAGTCACTCGTGTGTGCATCGCGCAATGGTAATTTGCTGTTCGCTTAGGAAATATATCACGCCTGACAGTAACAAGCTCTTTGAGTATCGTGTTGGTAGCAGATTGATCGTCACATCAGAGATCTATCCAGTGACTTGAGCGAGCGTTTATGTTATACAATATTAATCGATTAAAATCACATATACTTCAAACGAATCGTGCCCAATTAAAAATACACTATATTCGCGTAAAGAATTTATATACAATGTTATTTGATAATATTTGAATATTTTATAAGTTATTATATTACGAATAATACTCGTTATTCGAAGGAATAAAGGACTAAGATCCGTGACAAGGTGTTAGTGTCTAAATATTTCATATTCCAAATTTATTGCGAAAAATATTACCTTGGCCAGGGTTTATTATCCATTACATAATAACTTATTTAATAACTAACTTATATTCGCGTAAATAATTCAACAGTCTTTGATTTTGAAACTATAACTCAATTTCTCCAGAAATTCATCAGTACCTCGTGCATCATGCCATTATTCGGAAATGTTATTACGCGTCACGAGTAACAAAGACACACTGGACGCTTTCAGGAGTGTTTCTCTAATGGTGTCACATTTTACCCAGCATTGCCCTCTTTTCCTTTCGATATGCGATCTTAAAATGCATATAAAAGCGATTTCCGTAAGAGCTTCGCACACGAACCACGCGTACTTTGACAACTGACTTATCAAAGTGCTATGTATCTATGTACATTGCCATACTTTCAAGCGGAAATTCAATGTCGATGAAGATTTATGTCTCTGAGAACGTCGAGAAGCGACGAATTTAGATCGCACTGGATATTTGAGGCGAAAGAGACAAATGAATGTAATAATAATTGCTTATAATCTCTTAATTTATGCACGTTCTTATTTGCATAGAAAGTATTTAGAAGTTTTATTATGCGTAGTGTACATGCGTGTAATTTGAGGTGTATAATATTAATAGAAAAATTAATTTTTTATGCTGGACAATCTATGAAATCATGGCCTTCTTGCGTTGCCGGATCTTTCTTGTGAAATACGAGACTCTTTAAAAAGTTAAAATTGATAATCTGTCTAATGAAAGATAGTTCGGACAGAGAGAGAAATCGAATTGATTTACCGAACGGATTTTATTTTGCAAATAAATGACGGAACAGGAAGTTCTACCGCGTGATCATCTGACCAATTGCGTCTCGTAATTGAATACCGAGGAGCTACGGCAAAACTTTCGAGGATATAAAACAGAAGTTACGCGCGGTGTAAAACGTGCAGTCTTAACTTGCATTCGATATCACTATCGATGTTTCTCTCCCTTCGATAGAAACAGACGGAAGGGCGAGGCGCGAACAAATTACGGAAGCGAATCTTTCGATTTTTCTCGCGCGATCACTTTCCCGAATTAAACCAAACCAATTACCAAAGAAAACGATCTATCCACGGAAAACTAATCGAAAATGAAATTGGAATACACAGAAGTTTATTCGTTATGTGGCAGGTGTATTCAATTTCATCCATGATAACGGCGCGCTGTTCGCACAATCGATACAATCATTGCCAGATACACACCATCTCGAACAACAGGTAATCCATTCTGCGTGTTAATTTACACGAGCGCAGAAATTAGCTTAAATCCACAGGCCGTTTACCGTAATGCATTTATTCTATTGTTAACTTTATTTTTCATTTATGATTTTTATTTACCCACATATCATGTACACAAACGTGTATGAAATCTGTCTGTTTCTTTATAAAATTTTTGTAGGTACGATTTTGTAAACATGATAAATATATAATAACACAGCATAATTGTCTTTTTTTTAAATACAAAATAGAATAGTTAATTCACCGGCGTGTTGCATTCTGTAAAATGTGCATTCTCATTTATGAGAAAATGCTTGCAATTACACCATGCATTGCAACATGTATGCTAATATTTGTGCATAATAAAGTTATTAATTTGACAAAATTAACTAGATTTCACGTGTATAAATGCGACCGAAAATTCCCGGAAATGTTAAAACGTGAAAGATAATAAGATTTTATTTTCATTGATAAACCAAGCATACGTATTTATATGTGTACATTGGTTTATCAATGAAAAAATAAATATATGAAAATATGTAAATCTGCTGAAAATCAAATACAATAATTCAGAAAATTTATTTGACGTTTATTTGAGTTCGAAAAGAAAAAAAGTTTATTGTGCTATTCAATTCTTATGTAATATTTATGAGAGAATATTAACCGAAATACTCATTCCTTAAAAATCTTTCGAAAAGGAACAAAATTGGAAAATACGTCGTGGCAGCCGCTATAGCTGAACTTTTAATGGAACCCGAGATAAATCTTGGACAATTTTCCGCTTACCAAATAAATTGACAGATTAACAATTCACCGCTTTTTAACTTAAATTGGTAAAACAGCGATTTAATATATTTCTTACACAAGAAACCTTTGACTTTAACAGATAGTTGCAACATGATTTAAAACGATTGGCTTTATTTACTTGGCAATTCTGTACTTAATACGTTCTTCACTTGTATCTTAGTTTATAGAGAAGCAATAAATATCAGTCCCTGACTTGCACGACGCCTTACACATACGGGGATTCGCGAAAATTTCTTTCGCCCTTATTACAATAACGGGATGATGTAGCAAAAAAATTGTACATCCATTTCCAATAATATCCAATTTTTATGTTATCCCAAAAACGGTGAGCCGATGCTTACCTTGAAAGTACGGTATCAGCTTGCACATCGTGAGACCGAAAACGAAATTCTTGAGAATTTGACCCAGAAGAGTGAAGGGCATGCAGAACACACCGAGCAGAAGATCCGACACCGCCTGAAACAAGTCGGCAGTAATATCCTTAATTGCTATTCTCCCAGCTCTCGCGAAAAATAAGAAACACGATTCAAACCGTAAAGAGTAAACACACAATTGCACTTGCAGAATAATCAAAATACAGCTGGTACTTTATCGGGAAATTTATTTCCCCGGGTTTAATTTTGACGAAGTACAGAAGCCACTGGACGAGACGTTTAAACATCCTAAAGTATCGTGGAAATAAATGACTCTATCGTTTCTTCATTCGTGCGCTCTCCCGACGTAGCGAGGCTACAAATAAAGGTGGTTCCGAGTCCAGGCCGATCGATCATCAGTAAACAACAAGAAAGTGGTTTTCAACGACACGGTAAATTGAACGCCGGAAATTTTCAATTCTGCATGCAGCCCGAAGATTCGGAATTTGTTTGTATATTTTAAAATAATTGTTATGCATGTTACATATATATGCACTCCTTGTTTACACGTTTGCGCGCGAAAATCGATGTAACGCGTGACGCGATAAATAATTTTTGTGTTTCAAAGAAAACACTTTCTGTTTCGCAACAAGACGGTCTACTTTTAATTAAACGGCAGTTTTTTCCCTGTTCTTGGAAAGCCTGGGAGATTCTTATTTTTCTTTTATTCGACGTTCACTGGTGTAATTTCAACACTGAAGGTTTTTACTTTGTCGCTGGACATGTGATAGCTTGTAAAAAAAAGAGGAATTAAAATAGCTGCCTAAGAGTGCAACGATATCTACAAGTAGAGGGATAAAGAGAGGAGGCGAAAAGAAAAAAGTAAAATAAAATTGTGCAAACGAATACTGCAATAGCTGTACGGGATCAACGCTGTTATTACGCAATCATGACTTTAAATTACATTAGGAAGCTGAGCTTTCATTCCGCGCTGTACTTGCTAAGTTATGTTTCCGACGTTGCGTTTGACCTAAATAACATGTGAAATTGTTACTATATGAAAAAGAAAAATTCACATATCTTCATAAATTATGGGATGTACAAACCAACAGTAAACAACACATGTATGAGATAATTATTTGCCTAAATATTTCTAGCGATTGCAACGCACGTTTATCTAATATTTCTTCATAGAATAATGTAATTCATTAAAACAGGGATAGGACGATTTAGTACAGGTAAAATTTTCAACTCTAAAAAACCCTAAACATCTGAAACTTATGTAAACCGGGAGTCAAGTTTACCTACACAGTTGAAAAATTTATGTTAAAT